CCAAAATTTTGCTGTAAAAACAGATAGAAAGGGCCCAGGGTAGAAGAGTCAGATATTATTTGTATGCAAGTTAGTGTCTTTTTAAAAGAGTAAAATAGAAATGCATATACTGTTATTTTGGGAAAAAGAAAGTATAACAAAAAGTTAAATATCACATGTACATGAAAAAATTCCTCCATGATTTCAATTTAAACAGTCTGTTATTTGAAGGTAAGCTTTTTCACAGAGAAAACTGTATGTTGTGAATTGGTCAATTTTGAATTAAAAAAATCAAACCTTTTAGCTTTAATGATTGTCCAAAAATGTTTAAATCTGGCTAAAACATTAATAGGGCGAGTTCAGTCAGCTCAGTCCACATGTTACATTTATTATCAGGCAATTCTGTATACAGGCCAACTCAGCTGGGCCAACTATAATTTCCATATTGTTGTATATTTACCAGTAGATTAAGACTTTGTTACCTTTGATCTATTTTTTCTATTTTTAAGCTTATTATTGACGTTTTTATGGCAGTAAATGTTGCGGCTTTTTAACGCATGAACCATTTCATATCGCTGTGACTGACAATGTGTTAGATAACTAACCACACCTGTTTTGATAAAATTCATCAATGTTGTACATTAACAAAAGGGGGAGGGGGTCAATTTTATAGCTTGTTTTCTAGGAATGTGATTAGATTAGTTTTTTGCAAGTTTAATAGTAAAGTATCAACCTAATACTGCCTATTACTGCAAGAAGTGAATCAACATGCATGTTTATTTGCCCCTCCCCCTTTGTGCGTATATTGTAAGAAATCCAAAGCTTGTCTATTGTTTCAAATCACCATTCAGTTTATTTTCCTATGAATACTCACAAAAATACAGTTTTGTATGAATTTATTATATTTGTTGATTTATTTAAAATATTTAAAACTTGGAGCAATTGTTGATGAGTTGTGTTCAAGTCGGTCGCAATTTATACAATATGTGCTTCTTTCATAATGTATCGTGACTGCATTTTTAAAAATACGAATCTTCTATCGGTGATTAGCAAATAAAGAATTAGAAAAATAATTTTAAAAGTTTAGAAATTATAGAAAAATATGCATAGCCTTTACACTGGTCTTATTTTCGGCTCTGATAAAGTATATTTTTTTGTGATGTGCCTGTAGTTACAAATTATTAATATTCCTGCAAAACTTGGTTTGCAAAAAAAGGTGAAGGTCATTTTATGAGTTCATACTGTGTGCAATGATTGTAACATATCTGGCAACATGTAGGGTTACCAGTCTGCTGCATTTTGTGTCCATGGTAACCACATTCCTTTTCCTTGTGACTACTCTCACCAAGGCATTAAGCATTCTGAATATATGCAGGGAATTTTTTAAACACAGGGACGCAGCACCCTCATGCCATGGCCATGCGCTCCCTTACCCTGGGGAGCAGATCGTCTGGCAACCATAAAATTCTGATGTACCAAGGATCACATGTGGCCAGTCTTCAACTGTGACCGGTCTGATAGTAATTTTGGTCCCAAGGAAGCCATAGAATGCTCCATCATAATTTAGAATTATTAAAAACTCCATACCCTGGTAGGGAAAACACTATTTCCCCCACTTGGTGGCGCCACTGAATTGCAGTGCTCCCTCTTGCAGGTTTTTTCTAGAAAAACCCCAAGGAGGGGGTGCCTTTGATAATCCCTGCCACATTCTCCTCAACCATACAGTACAGAACTAATGTCTTTTTTTTGATTTTGTATTGCAAAGAACAAATTATCTGCAATAATTTAGTAGTTAGTAGTTGGTAGTTGGGGTTCTTAATAAGTATATTAAAGGAAGTGTGTAATTACATAGCGTTTCCAGTAACTCCGGATTCTGTGAAGTGAAAACAAAGGAATCTACAGTTCACTTGTTCACACAATTTCCTTTTTTTTTTTGGCCAAATTTATAGCACTAGCAAGACATTACCACACCTGTGTGTCTGTCTGTCTGCCCACCCACTGGATTTTAGAATATTCTATAATATAATCAGTGTATCATTGATCCATAATGATTTCTTAATAATTTATTTAAATATTAAATGCAGTGTTGTATATCATTTTTTTTGTGGCTTGTATGTATATAAAATGCATCGTTTACATGTAATGCACACTGCAAGGAACCCCCCCCCCCCCACTTAAATAAATTGTGTCTCAATCAATGTCTATTTTTCTAGTGTTCCATTAGAATGTCCATTTCACAAAATTCTAAATATTAAAGTAAAATAATTTCTCTCAAAACAAAAATTCTAAAAATAAATAACCTTATATTGTTGGTAACTACCTTACTCGTCCAGCTTGGTGCCCATAGTTGACTAAGTGCCTAACCTCAATTTTGGGTCATTTCTGTTTTCAGGGTCACATTCAACTAAGCACCAATTCTCTCCAAAATGCCCCTAAATTTGTCTGTCTAGTTATAAAACCTGGTCTTTGATCATTGTTGGACTTTCTGAATGTTGATAAACAATTTAATATTTAGAATATTGACCCCCTCCTCCCATGAATATGTTGTAAATGCGTAAACCATGAATGGTAACCATACATAAATACTTAACATATTCAGTTTATGATTTCTGTAGCAGAGTACCTTGGGTGCCAAGTCAAACGATTATGGTAATATCTTAATATATAAATAGACTCCATATGGATGGCAGCGATATTAACTAAAAACATGATGGTATGTGAAAAAACTGAGCATTTGGAATTATTTGGGTCGAATATCTAAAAATAATGCCAGTATTTCATCCCTTTAGTCCTTTCATAAATTAAATCTGCATTTCCCCCCCCCCCCCCATTTTCAAAAAATGCTGATCAAGACTAATGAAGATAATTTCCTCTTAGCTACTGAGCTTGACGACAATTTTAGAAAAATTAAGAAAACAAATTATGTGGGTATAAAATTAGTTTATATTACCAGTAACAAAACTTGACTTTGGCACTTGGTTAATGTAGTTTGCATAGGGCTGATTTTTGATTTCATATTAACATTCCATTGTTTCTCTTGAATTCTCAACCCAGAATTGTACTATTCAATGACATGATGCTTTAAGATGCTGAAAACTCAAATACTTAAAAATTCAGATCATTCACAAGACACTGACATGGGTACTTTGTATATACATGTCAAGGTCTTATCTAACTTTAAGACCACTACTGGTCTAAACTATTAAATTATTTATAAAGATTATGTTTGTAAGCTGTTCATGGCATTGTAAGCAGTCAGTACACTGAGGTACAAAAGCCAGTCTATGAATTCTATCCAACGTGTTTACAATGTTCTTCAGTTTTTCATCTGAATTTTTACGTCTTCTATGTCTGGTTATTTGGCTTGGTGACATGTCTATTGCATCTCCTATTTCCCCTGGCTTAAAAGCACAATAATTTGGTTGGTTTATTAAACTTACCATATTTAAAAATATTTATTTTACATACTTTTCTACAAAACTAAAAAAAGATTGTTTTGAAATGTCATGTCATCATAGTCTGAGGGAGTGAAAGTAATCCTCAGTGCAGTCATAATTATTTTCTCTCAATCAATTGATATGTAAATAGCAGAACAATACAATGGCTGAGATGTAAGCTCCTACCACTGGATAATTATTTGCTTGCAAATAGAAAGTAAAGTGTCGAATAAAATGTTATTTCTCATTGCATAATACAGTAGTCTCTATCTGTTGAGATGCCGTTTGATCTAGAAAGGTCAACGCGTCTCCGCCAGCTGACATGGCATTAAGCTGTAGTTGTAGTGAATGGTTATTCAGATTTCAATAATTCGCTATTTATAAAATCAATTGAATTGCTTTGTGTGAATTTTTCTACTCTGCATGTCAATAATTCAAATAAATCAGGCATTGAGAGACTTTAAAGTGCCTGTGCAATGCCCACCCTAACGTTTCCCATTTTAGATCTGTATCCCACTGAAATGGGCAGTTATTGATTTTTTTTTGCTGAAAATGATTACTCGTATCCAAGTAAATTTGGGATATTTCTCGTGTTGTAGCCACGCCCACCTATCCTGAAACGGTCGACTGTTTTCGGATTTCCGACTCTCGCCGAAAGTGCGCCACCAAATGCCAAAATGTGAGAGGAAGTCATACCCCTGAGCCATAATAACACTGGTCATTCAGTATACTTTTAAACGATATACATTTTTTGATCGGCGTTTTTTTTTCTACTTTTTTTGTCGTTTATTTTTTTGAGGGTTTTTAGATGTTGTGTTGTGGGCAGCGTATAGTCATAGTGTAAGTATTCACACGTTTCTAATCGATCCGAAAGTGTGACATCACTTAACCTTAGATTAATTTTTTTGTGGAAAAACTGTTCTCGTCCATGAAAAAAACAACTAGGTTTAAAGAGAAACGCCGACAACATAAACCTGGCGCAACTTTTGAAGGAAATAGATTCCGGACTATGATCACCGAGGCGGATTTCAGAAGAGAGATGTCCGACAAGTGTTTCAAATGAGTTGACTTTTTTGCGATCCTGATTATCGTTTCATAGACCATTTTGTCCCTGTTAAGTAAAAGGTAGCAATAATTTTGACAGTGACACGAAAACAGAGCGTCGACAAACAGAAAATTACACAGCCCTTACACACTGCTAATTGTTTTCATTTTTGAAGGCTAAAAGTTTCTGAATTGTTTGGTGATTGGTGTTGTCAAATTCACATCTCTGTTCTTTTTTTACCTCCATGCTTGCAGCTTGATCTGCGCACAGTCCCTCTATCATAGTGATAGGACTGTGATCTGCGTAATAATTTATAAAATAAGAATCTGGGCTTGGTCAATGTGTTTCCACCAAATAAAGTTTTAATATGGTGTTATAATTATGACAATCACACCATGGATCACGCTAACTCGAATCCACTCTGAATTTATCTGTATGTGTGTCGATCTCGATTATTTTTGTTATCGTTATGTTAAACGTCGCTTTTAACGCACTTGCCCTCGTCGTGACCCGACGCGTTCACCTATTTCAACAAAATTTCAATTTATTTTCACGCGGCTGTCATTTATTTAGTAACTGTGATTTGTCTTTTTTTAATTATTTTATAGTGATCACTATAGTCTAATGTTTAGAATGTCAATATGTTCTCTTTTATTTTAATTTTGAAAGTTTTACCCAGACGATCGATGAAATAAAACAGTGTAGTGACGTGCCTAGTAACCTGCTAAATGAGATAATTCCGACGTCAAATTCTATTTTATCCAGCGACAGTGTACAAACGTGCGCCGGTGTCGGTGACGATCACGGTGACCAGCTACACCAGAACGGACATATTTCGCATCTAACCTCCCCCCCCCCCCCAATGCAACAAAAATTGTATTCAATATGGTCCACTCCTCCTCGACGAACAAGTACACAAGTGAAAATTTAGTCAAAGACGAGAAAACTGCACAAGAGATTTGCCTTGTTTACACGCATCGGTAATTCAAGCTGCCATGCGACTTCCCCTTCTGACGTCACAAGGGGAATTGCTGTATGCAAATAAGAAGCTAATGAGGAGCCTCGTTTTAAAATACACAAAAATAAAGTTGCCGTAGATTGAGTTTAAAACACATTTTTTCACTTAAAAAAATAATTCATGCTTAGAAACATAAAAATTAATATTTATGTATCAATGGATAATTTAGCGTGAAAATT